GTGTGTGTGTGTGTGTGTGTGTGTGTGTGTGTGTCCAAGATCCCAAGGAAAATGGAGGAAAAGGGATTATGGCGTGGCCATCCCCCCTGGGGGGTGACTTCTTGCTTTCTGTCTCTCTGTCTCTGTCTTTCTGGCAAGCACACACGCACTATAGCAAAAACCTCTCAAAAAAAAAAAAAAAAAGCCAAGTCTCTCCCTCCTCCAGCAGATGTGAATGTAGGAGCACATTCCCAGACATTACTGGCAGCCACCCTACAAGCATGAGGGACTACATCTAGGAGACGGACACTGAGGACAATGAGCACAGAAGACAGTTCTTGATGCTATTGCTGAGCTGCTCAATCAACTAACCCTGAAATCTTTCCTACCTACAGAATGCACGCTCTGTGGGCTAGAAAATGTCTTTGGGACCAGCAGGTGGCGTGGTGCTTAAGGTACTAGATTCTCATACAGCTGACTGTAGTTCGAGTTCTGGACCCTGCTGCTTGAAAATCACACAAGGTGTTTGTGTGTGTCCAAAATTCCAGGAGGAAAATGGAGAAGGGGTTGCAGTATGGCCATCCTCCCTGGGAGGTGATTTCTTCCTTTCCCTCTCTCTGTCTCTGTCTCTCTTTCTCTGGTGGTATATATACCTTATAGCAAAAGAAAAAGTTTTTTTTTTTTTTTGAGCTGAAAGAATCCTAAGCAGACACAATGCCTGTAGAACTGAATCACTCTAGATCCCGGTAGCTATATAGTAGGGTTCTAATAAGAAAAGATAATTTCTCAGAGAGCAGGTACAAAACCACTCCCTTAGAAAGGACATGTCATGTCAATATACAAAGACTCTACAATAGAAGAAAAGTCCTACTCCTTCTCTCCTTCCACCACAAACACTCTGAGACAGGCTCTTACCAGCCCTGATACGATTACCTGACTGTGGTAGGTTGCGATCCTGCAAATAGAACTTATATCCTCCTGGAGCTTCAGTTTCGAAAACACCTTCTGCAACTTCAGTGAGCGGCCACTGCAGCTTCCTGGCATTGCTGACAGCCTGGCTGGATGCGAGTGTGACGCCCTGTGACAAACAACATCACCAGCATATATAACTCACATCATCTTTAACAGAATAAGATAATATAAACCAAAATCCCATTGCCTTTAGGTCAAATCGCTCAAGATGTATTTGGCATTCACAACTTTCTTCCAGTGATTTTAATAGTAGGGTTTTGGTTGCTTCCTCCCACAGATTCAAATCTTCATAAATCATAGGACAGACATTAAAATTCATTTAGCACTAAAGATAACCTCTTCTAATTTAAAAGATTCAGCCAGAGTGGGAGCAAGGTGGTGTTACTGTGGTGATTCAGCACTTTAGAAGGCTGATCCGAATGGGAAGGATGTTTCCAGGTTCATGTCCAGAGACCTTTAAATATGCAGGCACACATGTGTTCATGACCTGGGGCTGGCTGACACCGGGGCTGGCCTGTGGCATGAAGACCCTGTTGGGGTGCTTGTTTTTCTGTCTCTCTTGCTCATGGGAAGAAGAAGTAAATAAAAAGTTTCACTCAGAGAAATCTTGATACTGGCCTAAAGCTACTTGAGATGATTTGCTTTAATTTTTGCTTAAAATTTTTTTAAAAAGTTACTTATGGGACCAGCAGTTGCCATAAGGGCTATGTCGCTGGGCTCCCACGTAGTCGACTGTGGTTTGTGTCCCGGACCCAGTGGCTTAAACTCACACCGGGTGCGTGTGCGTGTGTGTCCAAGATCCTGAGAGGAGAATGGAGGAGAAGGGATTGCGGTGTGGCCATCCCCCCTGGGGGGTGATTTCTCGCTTTCTGTCTCTCTGTCTCTCTCTGTCTTTCTGGCGAGCACACGCGCCCTATAGCAAAAAACTCTCAAAAAAAAAAAAAGTTACTTATTTATTTTACCTCCAACAGGGTCTATTTGCCATAATCTACAGTGGATTTAGCAGGCCCCAGATCGAGGTCTTGCACATGCCTAGCTTACACAAGTAGGTCTCAGGACATAAACCCAGAACTTTGCTATGTGGATCAGTCTCACAGAGTCACGCTTTACCACAGCTCCACTGTCTAGCCCTCTGTTTTTGCTCTGTAAACAAACTATCAAGGCATTCCTTATATTGAATCACAGTACCTTCTCTCATCTGAAGTTTCGGTTACCCAGGGTCAACTGCGATTTGAAAACAAGGGAGTAGTGTACAGTAAGATATGTTGAGAGACCACATTAATAAAACTTTTATTGCAGTACACTGTTCATTTTTAAAGAATTATTTAACTTTACTTATTTACTTATTTATTTTTAAAATTTGACCAGAGAGGGACAGAGTGACAGAGTAGGAGCAAGAAAAAGTGAGAAAGCAAGCCACCAGGTCCAGAACTCGAACCACAGTTAGCCACGTGGGAGTCCAGTGCCCTTAATCACCACACCACACTACCTGCTGGCCTCTGTTATATTTTATTACTAGCTATTATCGTTAATCTACTATGCCTAATTTATAAATTCAACTTTATCATAGTTATGTACATACAAGAAAAAAATACACTGGGTTATCGGAAAAGTCATGACGCATTTTCACATAGGAAAACACACCATGATTTTTCTGACGACCTACCAGTATTTATAGGGATCGAGGCCAGCAGGTGGCATGATGGTTAAAGGTGCTGGACTCCCACAGGGCCAACTGTGGTTCATGTCAGCTTGCTTTCTCACTGTCTCTCTGGTCAAAGTAAAAAAAAAAAAATAAGTAAATAAATACATGAATACATGAACAAGTAAATAAAGTTAAATAAAATAACCCTTAAAAAAATAGTGTTTATAGGGATTAGCACTATCCATGGTTTCAGGCATCTATTGGGGATCTTGGCATCATCTCCCGTGGATCAGCCCCCAATTTTCAACAACTCTTCATTTCACTCACAGTTAGTGTACAGTGGCCTAAAAGGCCCAACACAATTCGATCCCATCTCCTACCACTTTTTCCTCATCTTCTCTACTCCAACCACTGGCTCCCGTCCATTTTCTTGACCAGGCCAGGTGCTGCTTGAGGGCTTCTGCACAGGATGTCCTATCTACCCAGAAGGCCCTTTCCCGGATATCCATATTACTAACTCCCTTATCTCCTTCGAACCTTTGTTCAAATGCTACCTCTTCACTGATAGACACACTTACACACTACTTAAAATTAAAAACAGTCACTGTCCTAGCCAAAAGTTTGCTGGAACAAAGTTATATTTACCATGAAGTCGTTGCCAAGCTTGTAGTCTCCGATGCCATAATTGTAAGTCAGTTCTGCAACAAAATGATCATCCTCAGGCCCAAATCCCACCATTGTTTTACTCCATTTCCCATCGTAAGGCCTAGAAAAAGAAAAGCAAGGGAACCCTGTGACCACAGGCATAATCTATCAGGCCTCCCCCATAGACTATGGCATAGAGAAGCAACCAGACCCTTCTGGTCCTGTAGTATTCATAAGGATGATGGTCCAGCCTCAAGGTGCCAGTGAATGATACTGGAGCCACATGGGATGGTCCAGGGTTCGAATCCCAAGTCAACTGAAAATCCCAGGCTTGGGGGAAGATTGTGGCATGGCAAGAACCTCATGGGGGGGGAGGCTGTCTCTGTCTTGTCCTCATGAAATGAATAAATAAACCTTAAAAAAAAAAATAAAAAGAAGAGCTCACATGGTGCTGAGAGAGCTATGGACAGTGCTCATGGGTGCCAACTACAAGCTCCAAAGACCATCTGTTAGTACTTACTAACAGGGTGAGGCACCTAGATAGCCTCAGCCTGGTACTGCTCACCACAAAGACCAAGTGACTGGAGCTTAAACTTTCAGATCCACTCACTTTTGGGAAATGAGGGGGAAGGGAGAGCTGGAGATTAATCTCTATTAATCTGTATAAAAGCTCTTAAATAAGATTTGATGAGCTTCCAGGCTGCTGAACACACAGAGACACTGGGAGGGTATTATATTCAGAAAGGGAATAGAAGTTCCATGTTCTCCACCACACTTTACTCGGAATCTCTTCCACCTGGCTTGCCAGAGATAGAGATAGAGATAGGAAACCAGAAATCACACCCCAGTGGGAATGACCACATCACAATCCCTCCTTCTCTTCCAGTATCCTCTTGGGATTTTGGGCACACATGCACACATGCCCATTGTGAGTTTTAAGCCATCAGGCCTGGGACTCGAACTGTGTTTGACTACATGGGAGTCCAGCGATGTAACCATTGCACCATCTGCTGGTTCCAGTCTTTTTTTTTTTTTAACAGAGATTTTTGCTATACAGAGTGTGCACTTGCCAGATAGAGAGATAGAAAGCGAGAAATGACCCCCCCCAAGTGGGGGTGATGGCCATGCCACAATCCCTTCTCCTCCATTCTCCTCTCAGGATCTTGGGTGTGCATGTGCACAAGCCCGGTGTGAGTTTGAAGCCCCTGGGTCTGGGACTCGAACCACAGGAAACTATGTGGGAGTACAGCAATGTAACCATTACACCATCTGCTGGTTCCAGTAGTTCCCTGAGTTCTTTGAGCCATTCTAGAAAACTACTTCATTAAGAAAGGGGTTATGGGAACCCCCAATTTTTAACAGTGGTCAGAAATACCAGAGGCCATGGCTGGCCACCACTGGGATGGTGGTTAAGGTGGCTGGATCCCACATGGCTGACCATGTGGTCCCAAACCTGGTGGCCTGAGAGAGACACACCAGGAGCATGTGCAGGCATCCCCCAAGTCCTGAAAGGAAGGAGAAATTAAGGGACTTTGGCATGCCCATGATCCACAGGAGTTGCTTTCTCACTTTTTCTGTCTCTAGTGAGCACACATGCCCTTTGACAAATTAAAACAAACAAAAATAACCCAGAGGCCTGGACTTGTGATTAGCATCGAAAGCAGGGGCAGTTCTATGGGACATAAGCCCTTAACTTGTTAGATCCGACATCAACTCCAAGTGCTTAAAGTCAGAATTGAATAAAATCTTAGGACGCTCAGGAGTATTTGGAGAACTAGAGAAGTGCTCAGTGTATCAGAAGTGTTATATGAGAGGGTGGGAGACAGGGTACGTTTCCCTAGTATTTGTGAAGTTGCCCTCCTAATTTACTCCCTCCTAATTCACTGCCCAATACTCACTTAGAGAAACTGCCTTCTGTATTCCTGGGGTATTCTGCACCTAAAGGAGATTTTAAGATATAAGGTGTCATACCCATTACAGGAAGCTTTGCAGCCTTCTTCAAATTCCTCATGTCGCAGAACCTGGTAAGGGAATTAAATTGAATTGCTAAGTTTTAGTAGTATATTTACCACAAACTAAAAGATCAAAACACAGACATTATGATCTATTAGCTTTATTTATTTTAAAAATGGGCTTTATACCATTCCCAGGCTAGAAGTGGTAGCAGTTTGACATCAAGGCTCAGACTGCCATGCAAGTTGTGAAACCTACTGAGATTGGGAAGTAGAGCAGTGCAGTGGAGACAGTGCCTTCAGCATTAGAAAAGTCTCGTCTGCCGTTCTGGCGGCCACTTGTAGTTGTGTGACTCCGAGTAAGTTGCTTGTCGTCTGAGTCTCAGTCTCTTAGTACGCTGGTAAAAACGAGTAACTTCCTAAAGTATCTAACGTAGGTTCTCAATGTCTCAGGTTCTGTTTTCTTTTCTGATTCCCTCTACTACTGCTTCAGTTCAAATGCCCATTGTTTCCCTCAAAGACTATTAAACATTATCCCTGTTAATCTCCTTTCATAATATAATATCACCTGTCCCTAGGGCCAGCAAGTGGTGTAGTGTTTAAGGAACTGGACTCCATATGGCTGACTGCAGTTTGAGTCCTAGACCTGACGGCTTTTATTTTAAAAATGGGCTTTATACCATTCCCAGGCTAGAAGTGGTAGCAGTTTGACATCAAGGCTCAGACTGCCATGCAAGTTGTGAAACCTACTGAGATTGGGAAGTAGAGCAGTGCAGTGGAGACAGTGCCTTCAGCATTAGAAAAGTCTCGTCTGCCGTTCTGGCGGCCACTTGTAGTTGTGTGACTCCGAGTAAGTTGCTTGTCGTCTGAGTCTCAGTCTCTTAGTACGCTGGTAAAAACGAGTAACTTCCTAAAGTATCTAACGTAGGTTCTCAATGTCTCAGGTTCTGTTTTCTTTTCTGATTCCCTCTACTACTGCTTCAGTTCAAATGCCCATTGTTTCCCTCAAAGACTATTAAACATTATCCCTGTTAATCTCCTTTCATAATATAATATCACCTGTCCCTAGGGCCAGCAAGTGGTGTAGTGTTTAAGGAACTGGACTCCATATGGCTGACTGCAGTTTGAGTCCTAGACCTGACGGCTTGAAAATCACACAGGGCATATGTGTGTGCATACCCCAGATCCCAGGAGAATGGACAAAAAGGGGCTGTGGCATGGTCATCTCCTCTTCAGGGTGATTTCTCACTTTTCTTCTCATTTCTCTCTCCGGTGAGTACACATGTCCTATAGTAAAAACCTTAAAAAAATTATGTCCCTAAAGTATTGATTATATCACTATCTTCTTCAAAAATAGAAGTGAGCTGCCTATGCACTGCTGCATAAATTCCAAATTAGCACAGTAATTAATACTTAGAGAACACATACTATCTATGTGTCAAAAACTATCTGTATAATAGCATATTATATATAATACATCTTTACAATAAACTTGGCCTACTAAGAAAATATTAAGGGAAAACTGTGTGTTCTGTTTCTAGCACTTACAACAAATTCTGACTTCCATTACTTAGCTGTGTACAAATCAAATTCCTGCCCCTACCCCATTCCAGACCATAATCTCAAAGCAAGGAGACACCAAGGTTGCTTGTACCTTTGTCACCAAAGCTTAACATAGTACCTTGAAATATAGCAGAGATTTCAAAAAATGACGATTCAGATAACCCTCTGCACTTCCCATATTCAGCACTATCTCTAAACTACATTTAATTTAAACTTGCATTTCTCAAGCCCTCTTGGCTGGTGTGTTCCCCACATCCTTGGCTTATCAGACGTTCCCCCAATAACTTCCACCTGTACTTTCTGCCAAGTGCGGCCGCCCCCAGCCCCCGAAGAATTACAGCTGCTTAGGACAGGAGAGAGAACGCTTCAGGGTGCTGAAGAGAAGAATGGGTTCTGACCTCATACTTAGATCTGGACTAACCAGCCCTGATAAAAGCAGAAGTTTGAATATGTTGATGATCTAAACGGAAAGGCTCCAAACCGGAAGAGACTTGAGTTATTAACTGGAAGATTATTACATAACTTTTGGTTTGTTTGCTGCCTTCCTTACGAGACCGTAAGCTCCGCCACGGCAGGAGCTCGGTAATTATTTCTGAATGAATGAACGTGAGTAGGAAAATACCTAGTAATAGTAAGGGTTGGCCCCCTTTCAAAGACCTCGCACCCTGCCTAGCGACTCGCAACGCTTCCTGAAGCTGAACACTACGCAGGGCGAACGGGGAGTCCCGGGCCTAAGGCCAGACACCCTCTGGACACCCAGAGGCTGAGGTTCACGACACACCCATTTCTCCCTGCCCTCCGCAGAAGCAGCTCAGCCTCCCGTCCCAACCTCGCGCGCCAGACCCTGTCGGCCCCAGCCTGCACCTTCATGCCCAGAACATCCCGATAAAAACGCGCCGTCTGGAAGCGGTTTCCCACTTTGAATACGAAGTGCAAAGCTCTGCGAGCAGCCATGTCGCGGCACCGCAGTCACATGCCGACAGCGCCCTCCCCTTACGCAAAGAGCTAGTGACGTCACTAGGCGCCGCCGGCGCGCTTTCGTGACGGAGCCTATTGCACCCGAAAGATGGCGGCGCTGGGGAAGAGCATGCGGTGTGCAGGGCAGCCGTTGCTGCCGGTGATCCAGACGTGGGATCTTGACCCACGGCGCTGGGTGCGGGCTCTGCGACGGAGTCCTGTGAAGGTGGTGCTCCCGTCGGGACAGGTGGTGGAGCGGAAGCGCGCTCCTGAGAAGCAGCCCAGCAAGACGGCGTCTGAAGACCGTCTCCACCAGCAGCGACAGAAGCAGCCGCCTCAGGTGTCCCCATCCCAGACGCCCAGCACCTGGGAAGAAACAGGGCTTCGCTACGATAAGGCTTATCCCGGGGATAAGCGGCTGAGGTGATTTGTTCCTGACGCTTGTCGCGTCTTCGCGTTCCCTTCGGCCTCACCGCGGGACCTTAGCGTCGTTCTCCAGTGGAGGATTTCTTCCAGTGTAACCCGCTGGTTTTTGCTATACATCGAAGGCAGAATAAGTGTCTTCTTGGTCGTTCGTTACTGTCTGTGCGTAAGCTCTGCATGTCTCTTCTATTTGAAGTAGGCATGTCTCAGTAACGAAGGTGTTAATAATTACCTGTCATTTTGTTTCCATCCACAGCAGTGTGATGACAATAGTTAAGTCCAGGCCATTTCGGGATAAACAAGGGAAGATCCTGCTGGAAGGTCGCAGGCTGATTGCAGACGCTCTCAAGGCTGGAGCTGTACCAAAAGTTTTCTTCTTTAGCCGTTTGGAATACATAAAGGAGCTCCCGGTTGATAAGCTGAAAGGTGTCAGCCTCATTAAGGTGAAGTTTGAGGATATCAAGGATTGGTCCGACCTAGTAACGCCACAAGGAATACTGGGTCAGTGGTCACACCATGTGTCACTAGGTGTAGAGACCTAGGGTTACTTGTTCATGCTTGTCTTAGGGCAACAAATTTTGTTTAATAAAGTCACAATGTTACTGCCTAACCTTTTCTTAGACACCCAGTATTCTCAAACCTATGCATCTTACAGCATTTTTAGTGGAAACTGAAGATGGTCTTTCATTGTCCTCTGTATAATGACATTTGTAGACTCTGGGAAGAACACTGTTCCTTAAACTTTGTATTTTTTAGGTCACTTCTTTGACTCTTCATGTCACATTAAAGTTTTTTTCAGATGTTTACTAAGATTTAATTCTCATTCCCATGAAGTCTCAGTGTGGTGATAAATGAATTGGGTCATCAGGAAGGTCATGATGGATTTTTGCATAGAAAAATATGTCATTGGGACCAGCAGTTAGTGTAATGGCTATGTTGCTGGACTCCCATGTAGTCGACCGCGGTTCAAGTACCGGACCCGGTGGCTTAACACTCATGCCGGGCGCGTGTGCGTGCGTGCCCAAGATCCCGAGAGGAGAACGGAGAAGGGACTGCAGCATGGCCATGCCCCCTGGGGGGTGATTTCTCGCTTTCTGTCTCTTTGTCTCTCTCTCTGTCTGGCGAGCGCATGCGCCCTATAGCAAAAACCTCTCAAAAAAAAAAAATATATATATATATGTCATGACTTTCCTGAAGGCCTAATATCTTATTTTTTAATTAATTTTTTAGAGAGATTTTTGTTACATATGTGTGTGTGTGTGCTTGCTACAGACAGAGACTGAGAGACAGAAAGCAAGAAATCACTCCCCATGGGGGATGGCCACACTGCAATCTCTTCTCCTTCATTTTCCTCTCAGGATTCTGGGCACGCTCGCACATGTGCCCAGCGTGAGTTTTAAGCCGTCGGGTCCGAGACTCGAACCATGGTCAAATATCTGGGAGTCCAGCAACAGAACCATCTGCTGGTCCTGAGGACCTAATATCTTATTAACCCACTTATTCCAGACGCAGATCTAAGGAATGAGGTGTAAGCTACAATTTATTGCTGTGGTTAGCCCAGAAAACCTTGTCTTCTGGAGTTTGTTTCTTCATTTGGTTGAACCTAAGCTTTTATGTATTCATGATGTCATTTAGCATTTAGTCTTTTTTTCTAAATATGGGAAGAAAAGTTCTTTATACCTTTTTGACACTTGTACCTTTTTGACTTTTGAGTCACATTTAAGATCTGAGAACTGAACAGCAATAAGTATAGAGCTTTCTCTTGGACAGTAAGGGACAGTTGGAGGTGGAGAAGTTCTTCTAAGGCTTAAGCCAGGGACTCTCATACTTGTTGTGCATGTGCATTCCCTGTAGTGGGCTCACTGATTCCAGAACTGTGCAGCCATCAATTGAGAGAGAAGATTCTGGGGACCATTTCTTGTGTCTGCAACCCTGCAAGTCATAGTGATCTATGTCCTTAGACACTAGAATGAAGAGTATTAAACTGTTAAAGGTAAAACATGCCAAGTGGAAAAGTGGGCGAAGGTTATAGCAACAAGACAGTTCAGGGAGGAGAAAACATGAATGAACAAAGGAACTGATTTAAGAGGATCCCAAATGGGCAGTTAAACCTTAAAAGATGCTCAGCCTCCCGAGCACTCAGGGGAAATGCAAGTTAAAATCATGAAACAAAGTAGCAAAAATGAATAATATACCCTGTTGACAAAGGTTTGAGCTGGGAAGTGGATATTTATGTGTTTCTGATGTGCATAAACTATAATAACCCATGAGGAGGGCAATTTGGTGTCGGTTGCTAACATTAGAATGCACACACACCATTTCTTCATTTCACTTTATCTTAGAGTAATTTTCTGACATATGCAGAGATTCAGATAGAGATGGTCATAATGGGGACTGGTAAGGTAATTTAACTGTCAGTCAGTAGGGGAAGAGCTAAATGAACTGTGGTGTATTCATATTACATATTAACATGCAGCAGTTCATAAGAAAAAGCTCTAAACATACTGCCACGGTAAATTGAAGACGTGTTACATTGTTCAGTAAAATAAGTAGATTACAGAATAATAAAGTGTGATTTTAAAAAATGTTTAAAACACTTATAAGTGGGTAGATAACATATATGTAGGCAGAGGCACAGAGCAAGTTCTGAGAGGGTACACTAAGATTGAAGAGTTGAGAGGAGCAGCACTGGGAGACTTTCACGTTAAAATATTTTCCAGTCAGAATGTATTAATGTATTCCTTGTGTTTCTAAATGTCTAAAGAATGATAAATCAGCAAAAGTCTTAATTACTTCCCGCGCCCACATCAGACAGATGAACCACCTTTTTTTGTTTCCTTAGGGATTTTTGCCAAACCTGACCATGTTACAATGACCTATCCAAAGACTCAGCTTCAACATTCACTGCCCTTATTTTTGATTTGTGACAATCTCCGTGACCCTGGGAACCTGGGGACGATTCTGAGATCTGCTGCTGGGGCAGGGTGCAGCAAAGTATTACTCACCAAAGGTAAGAGTGCCTTTACTAGGGGGGCTGGTTAGCCATTTCTTTTCTTTTATATTTTTAAAATTTGCCATAGGGTACATGCTCAGTGGAGAGATGGGTGGAGTGTAGGGGTTGAGAAAAGGCACCCTCTAGGAGGATAGCCACACTAACATCCCTTCTTTCCATTCTCTTCTCTGGATTTTGGGCACACACACACACACACATACACACACACACTCACGCGCTCAATGTTTTTCAAGCTACTGGGTCCAGGACTCAAACCATGCAGTCATCATGTGGGATCCAGCTGCCTTTACACCACCAGCTGGCTCTCTTTTATTCTTTTATTTTTAAGGTACATGTGCCTGCCAGAGAGAAAGCAGAGGGGGAGAAAGCATCCCCCGAGTAGGGTGTGGTCACACCAAGTTAGCCATTTTTAAAGTAAGCTAGAGTTTTGGGTGAAATGAGCTTGAATCTTGGATCTGACAGGCAAACCCCTTTATTAACTGTGTGTCCATGAGCAGTATTCCAAGTGTCAGTTTTTCATTTGGAAAATGTGAATAAAACAGAATCTACCTCGTACAATTATTTTGAGAAGTGAGATGATGCATCTAAGATACTATAAAAAGGTTTTTTTTTTTTTCTCTTTATTCATAATATGGCATGTATGGGCATGTGAAAAAGAGACAGAGAGAGAGAGAGAGAAGCACCCTTCACAGGATCTGGTCACACTGCAGTCCTCCTCCAGGCCTCCAGCCTGTCAGATCTGGGGCACTTACACCATGCCTGGTGATGTTCCAGGTGGACAAGGGTGGGATCTGGTCTCTCTTGAGCACTGAATTATTACTGCATCAGAGCTAGCCCCGTCTAAGTGCTTTACATCATGCTTGGCACATAAGAAGTAATTCAATAAATGCTCATTATCTTTTAAAATTATTTCGAAACCTGCTAGGTTATTAAAGAAATAAATTAGGGACTAGCAGATGACATGGCAGTTATGTCCCTGGACTCTCACATGGCCAGCTGTGGTCCCAGACCCAGTGGCTTCAAAATCATGCTGGGCACATATGCATGCATGCCCATGATCCCAGGAGGAGAATGGAGGAGAATGGATTGTGGCATGGCCATGCCCCCTAGTGGGGTGATTTCTCACACGTTGCTCTCACTGTGTCTCTCTCTCCCCGGCGAGTACATGCACCCTAAGACACAAACCTCCTTAAAAAAAAAAGAAAAGAAAAAAAAGAAATTAAAGAAAAAAATAAATGCCAGTTTTATTTAATTATCGTGAGAGAGAGGTACTTTTCACAGTGTCTCACTGTTGTCATCCTCTGCCACAGTCTCCCAGTTACCCAGCATCTCAGCACAAGCCACTGTGCCTGGGTTGTTTGTAGAATTGAACCCAAGCTTTCTATATGGCTCAAGTCTCATGCAGGGATGCCCTGCTGCTTGTGTCATGTACCTAGGCCAGATGACAGTCTTTAAAAATACGATTTATTGGGACTAGCAGTTAGCATAATGGCTGTGTCACTGGACTCCCATGTAGTTGACTGCAGTTCGAGTCCCAGACCTGGTGGCTTAAACTCAATGCCGGGCACGTGTGCGTGCGTGCCCAATATACCAAGAGGAAAATGGAGGAGAAGGGATTGCAATGTGGCCATCCCCCCCGGGGGGTGATTTCTCGTTTTCTTCTCTCTGTCTTTCTGGCAAGTGCATGTGCCCTATAGCAAAAACCTCTCCCCCCAAAAAAAGTACAATTTATTATTGTTATTATTAATTTAATTTGCTAGAGAGCACATGTTCCCACCGAGAGAGACAGAGAGAGAGGAAAAGTGAGAAAGCGAGCCATCAGACCCGAGACTTGAACTGTAGTCGGACCATGCCAACTGCCGGCCCCCAGATGCCACTTTCAGCGGTTAGTTTTAAATCCTTTATTTAATGATCTTGGGTTCCCACATAGTTGGTATGTATGAGACCCTCCTAATTCTTGCATTCTGCACCCTGTAAAGGAATGATGTCCACGGAGTGTGATTATGCAGCTATGATACAGTTCCCTTAGCCTCAGGATAGGTCACACCCCCCACACATTAACCTCATTACATTTCTGTCTCTTCACATCAGGGACTGGGATTAATGGGTTTGGTTCTAAACAACTTGCCCAACAGCTGGGACATGCCTAAAACACCGGTTACACCTCGAGGGAGCCAGGGAGGGAGAGCATCATTCATCAGAAATACTCGGACTACCATCACGAGTGCATTAATAGCGGTGCCCGTTGCTGGGACTTGTCTAAATGACTCCTTTCAACTCTTCCGGTCATACCTTGTTGGAGTACATTTCTCTGCAGCCTGAGAGTCGGTGCTGGAGTCCATTACCAGTGCCCTGCTTCTCGCCCTGCTCAGTGCTCCGATACAGGTGTGGTTTTGGAAGCGCACTTATGTCATCCAAGTGGGGTAGCTTTCACGTTGATACTGGGAGCTGGTGTGTAAGAGGTAGCAAAAGAAAGAGTATAAAATACTCGGTGTACTCTTGCCTGGTGTCGTGAGGATGGGGGCGGTAGGTCTCCCCTTTTCCCTTGTTCCCCACCAGGTACAGTTCTCAGGCTAGCTAGCTCCTTTCACCAATCCGGGCCCATCTGGGCCTTTCCCTCACCCCTCGGCATGCGGCCCAGCTCCCATCTCTGGCTCTCTGCAGGGAGTAGGAGAGTCCATGGTTGGGGATAAGGTAGGCACTGCTCTGCGTGTCTTCTTTACACAGTCTTTTTAAAATCTAGTTGGCTTAGCTAATCTACCCTGAAGTTTGGCAAAGTAACTTTTTTTTTTTTTTTCCTGGTTGAGAGAGAGAAAAAGGGAGAAGGACGCAGGTAGGTATTTCTGACAGGCTCTTGCTGTTTCCTGATCCTGGTCCCCTGTCCCAGCCTTCCACTTAGCTGGGAGTACAGGCATGCCAACTGTGCCCGGCAGACGCTGGCCCAGGAACCAAACAAGTCTGCCGTGTGGCTCATAGCCTCCCAGGTGGCACCTACTACCATGGTTGGTCCTGACAAACTAAGCTTTTTTTAATCATGAGAGGGCACGTGCACTCTCCAGAGAAGGGGAGAGAAAGAAAGCATTTCCCCTGCCTCCCAAGTGGGGCATGGTCACTCCACAATCCCTTCTCCATTTCTCCATTCGGTTGGGATTTGGGGCACATACAGATATGCTCCCAACATTTACCAAGCTGCCAGGGTAGGGACTCAAACCGTCAGCAGCCTTATGGGACACTAGGCTAAAGGGCTGGCCCCAAATTAACTATATAAATCATTTCTCATGAGAAGATTTGTGCTAACAAGTCAGAGGTGAAGTACCCTGGTTACACCTTCCCTATCATGGTGCCTGTGGTGAGATGACACTGGGAAAGGCCCAGAGCCTGCCGTTCAGCCCATGCACAGGAACAGTTGAGCTTAGCGTGTGAATACCTAAGAGTGAGTTTATGGGACCAGCAGGTGGCGTGGTTAAGGGAGTGCTCGACTCCCACATGGCCGACCGTGGTTTGAGTCTCCGACCTGGTGGCCTGCTTTCTCACTTTCTCTCTCTCTCTCTCTCTTTCTCACTCTGTCCCTCTGGTTAAACTAAAATAAGTAAATAAATAAAGTCAAATAAAATCATTCTAAAAATAAGTGAAAATAAAAAATAAGAGTGAGTTTTTTAGCCTTCTCAGTGCAGCGTGGGAGAAGGGAGCAGTGTGAGTGAAGGCTACAGCATGGGTTGCTGCAATTGCCCCCTTTGTAGTTCCCCAACTCCAGTGTCCTCCCTGCTCCGATCCAGGTTGAACACTGAGACCAAATGGCACTTTCTAAAACAAATCATGTTATTGCTTCGCTTAGTCTGTCAATGCATTATGTCATCTTCTGACAAAACACAGCTCCTCGGGGAACATACCCAGCCAGCCTCCTCGAAGTTGGCCCTGCCTGCCTCCCATTTCCTCTCCCACCACACCACCCTCCGTGACTTACTCAGTTCTCGGACTCTCAGTTCTCCCCCTATCTCTTTGTACTCCACCTGGGCCTTTTGTCTCACAGGATCTTCCTGTCTATTAAGAGCCAATTCCGTGTTGTGGCCCCTTAGGTGTTTTCCTGACAGCGCTGCTTTGCACAGCAGTTTTCTATTACCCAGATCATGCTGTCCTTTTTTCCCCCTTAATGTTTCCAGCCCCCTCTTGGGACTTTGGGCCTGCACGAGCACACACGCACACACCTAACTTGATTTTGAAGCCACTGGGCCCAGGACTTGAATCGTGGTGGGCCATGTAGGAATCCAGTGCCTTAACCACTGTGGCATCTGCTGGCCCCATCTGATCATACTTCTTTTACATCAATTATTACTGATACTGTAGTCACGGGTTTAAAGATCATCCCAGTGCCACCACTCACCATGACTTTCTTGAGGTTGGGGACTTAGTTTTAATTCCCTTGGCATCCCCTGTCCAGGTCATGCGTATGGAAAATGTTGGGGGGATGAATAAGATCTGTTTCCAGCACTATCGGGAATTACTCCTCCAGTCCCCTGGTGCTACCATAATTGGGGAGCAGAAGGTTCCAGCTATCCAGAAGGCTGTGACCACAGAAGAACTTCGCTTTCTCTCTTGATCCAGAGTGAATCCGATTTACCCCAAAGTTCCTAGTGTGTGAAGACATAGACTCTTGATCGTACCCATCTTTTGCTTTCCAGGCTGTGTGGACCCTTGGGAGCCCAAAGTGCTGCGGGCAGGGATGGGAGCACACTTCCAGGTGCCCGTTATCAACAACCTGGAGTGGGGAACGGTGCCAGACTACCTGCCCCCGGACACCCGGGTCTACGTGGCTGACAACTGTGGCCTCTATGCCCGGGCCCAGCAGTCTAATAAAGCCAGTGACCACGGCTGGGTGTGTGATCGAAGATTCCTGAAGTTTCATAAGTATGAGGAGGGAGCCGAGGAGGACCTAGAAACTGCAGCCCGTAAAGGCTGGCTCCCTGAACTTGAAGTCCAGAGCTACGATGTGAACTGGGCAGAGCCGCCAGCGGCTGTGGTGGTAGGTGGAGAGACCCACGGCGTGAGCCTGGAGTCCCTGCAGTTGGCCGAGAGCACTGGGGGCAAGAGGCTGCTGATCCCCGTCGTGCCTGGTGTGGACAGCCTCAACTCGGCCATGGCTGCCAGCATCCTGCTTTTTGAAGGGAAAAGACAACTGCGGCTACAGGTGGAACGCCTGAGCAGGGCAGCTGGCGCCGATGGACACAGAGGCAGTCCTGTCTGAGGACGTCGCCAGCTCCTCCTAGCCTGGCACCTAGCCAGGGGGCTGGCTTCTCAGGCCACGATCCGGAGGGAAGAGGAGGTAGACACGACACCTTCATAGGGTTATCAGAAAATGAGAATTTTGATTTTTCTTCAGGCATAAAAAAGGTCAGAATTTTAGAATTCTTCCTAGATCCCCATCTCTCCACTGATTTTGAGGTTGTATCTTTTTTGGGGGAAAGGGAATGAAAGCAAATGATCCACATGGCTCTATGTGTTTGTGTTTTAAAAGTTGTCCAGAAAGGATTATCTTGGGCCCAGAAAGTTCCTGAAGACATTCTCTTGGGCAGGGAGGAATTTTGCCGCTGGTGGGTGTTCTACATACCCAGCACTGGTTATAGGTTATGGCCACCTCACTTCTGTTTGGACATCTGTCGGTGGAAAATAAATTCCTATGAAGGGTATGAACTGTAATCGGAGATTGCATTAAAATGTTTAGGGGTGGTCACTGGGTCTCCAAGCCTGTCTTTTCATCTTTGGCCCGGCGGTGGGGACACTGCTAGGGATGAATAACTCAGGAAGTTGGGTACGGGTCATGGTGTCCAGTAGCTCTTGGGTTTGGACGTGTCCGTCCCTGAGACTGTCCAGGCTGTCAGACGGCCGCAGCTGGCATGTAACAGTGCTCGCTCTCCTTTCCCGCAGTCGGGAGGACCGGCGTAACTCAGGTGGTGTGGCCCCTTCGCAAGCACCTCTGCAGATCTATTTTTGAGGACTGCAGAAAAGAAAGAAACTTGAGTTTTTAAATCTCCAGTTTAATCGTCCACCTGTAGTGAAAGCTTCACTCTGTAGAAGTTAGTCCTGCTTTATGTAACACTTCTAAGTGTAGTGATGCGCTTACATTGAATCCCGCCCTCTACCCCCGGCATAGAAGAGAACTGCTTAGGAAAATGCCAGGATCCCTGTTGTGTGAAGAGAGGGCTCCTTCGAGGGGAGGGTGGCTGAGGTTCTGAGGACGAGAGCTTGGGGCCCTTGCTGGGGCCCACGGGCAGGACCCTTCTGTTCTCTCACATCCCCAGGGAAACCTAGAGCCAGACACCTGTGGGTGTGGCCACTGGTTCAAAGCGGCTGTGGGAAGGGGATGGGTGGACTGGAGTATGGAGCTCATTTCAGACACTGCTTTTGCAGCCACAGGGAGTAGGGTTGGAATGGAGGACCATCCTCACAGTGCAGTTTTAAGGACTTTGTTTGCCATAGGGTACATGCGCTCACCAGAGTGGGGGAGAGAGGCAGTGAGAGGGAAAGTGAGAAATCTCGCCCCAAGGGGGATGGCCAGGCTGCGGTCCTTTTTTCTCCATGCTCCTGGGATTTGGGGTATGCATGCACATGCACCCAGTGCGATTTTCAAGCCATTGGGTCCAGGACTAGTTGGCCAAGTGGGAGTCCAGCGCCTTAACCACTGCACCACCCGCTGGCCGCTGGT